ACTAGATTACTGACCTTTAGTGTTCTGGTATGAAGGTTGTGGGATTGGTGAAATTCTAGTAATTGAAATTGTGTTAGATTTTATTTATTTACTTTTATTTCTTGATCATATAAAATATCTACATGATTACAAAGTGGAAAACCATAGTGTGAACAAGGGTTTGTGAAATGTGAAGCTTATATAATTTTGGTGACACTTTAATTTTGGTGACTGCTTTAAAAGTTGACAAAAATACATGACCATGGCTACAAATCGCCAGGAAAACCAAAACCAAAGTCACTTCCATCAACTTCTGCCTCATAGCAACCCTATAGGATGGAATAGAACTTCCCCACAGGGTTTCTAAGGCTGTAAATCTTTATGGAAGCAGATTGCCTCGTCTTTCTCCTGTAGAGCAGCTGGTGGTTCGAGCCATTGACTCTTGGCTAGAGTCCCTCCTAAATCCTTGGAAGGAGTTAGTGCAAGCAAGAGGCCCCAAAGCTTAGACTTAATTAGCTTGAAAATAAATCCATCTCGGGTTGACAATTTGAAACACAGTATACCTAGAGAAGACTTTTCACATTCTTTATTCTCTGGAATCTTTTGTAATAAATATTTTTATTTGGTCTATCCTTCTAGTATTTCCTTTCTTTTTTAAAATGTAAGTAAATATATCTTTATGTGTTGCAGCTATACAAATACGTATATATATTCATACTCTCCTTACACTGAAGGTAGCGTAGTATATTTACTGGTCTGTGCCTTGGTTTATCACTTAAAAGTATACATTGACATTAACTCTATATTGTGTGTAGATTGCTTTCTTATTCGTATACTGCATAATATTCCATTGTGGGGGTATAGCATAGTATATTCAACCAATCCTTTTATTTATGGACCTATGAGTTGTTTTTCAGCTTTTGTTACAAATAATGCTGCAATGAATACCCTTGGGCCTCAGTCTTATAATATTTTTGCCACTGTGTCTTTGAAATAGAGTACTTCTAAGTGGAGTTTCTGGATCAAAGAATAAACACAAATGTAATTTTAACAATATGCTGACAAGTTTCTCTCCATTTTGCAAATGTTTGAGAGTGCCTATTTCTCCCCAGCCTCACTAACGGAGTGTTATCATGCTTCTAGATTTCTACTTATCTGATATTGAGAAATGGTATCTCTGTAGTTTAAATTTGCATTTGCATTTCTTCCACTATAAGTCAGATATATAACTTCCTATATGTGAATGGCTATTTTTAATTATCTTGCTGGATCATCCTGTTCATATGTTTTGTTGATTTTTTTCTCTTAAACTATGTTCTGGTTACCTAGTGCCACTCTGACAAGAATATACCACAAACGGGATGGCCTTAACAAACAGGAGTTTATTCTCCTACAGTTTGGAGGCTTTGAGTCTTAGTTCAAAATGCCAGGCTCTAGGGGCTGTGTGAAAGCCCCTCAACCTTGGGCTTCAGCTCTGCCTCCTGCTCCTGGCCCACTGGAGCTAGAGGCTTTTCTTCACTCAGACAGCTGCTGGCTG